ACAGGAAGGACAGGAGAGTCAGTCTGGGTGTTCAATCCAATATGCAGATCTAATGAAAAATCTCCTGGTTACTGACATTATGGAGGGTTAGTTAGCCTATCACCTGGTCCATAAACTCATTTTGATACTGCCTATATATTCCAGTAATCTTTGTGCAGTTAGTTACTCAAGTGCACTGGAAACTAGACTGCTACTGTAAAATATGTTGCAACACTGCTAGAGGAAATAGCTTGAATCTTTTTCCTGTTTCTAATTAGCATTTTACCAGTGAAAAGCTTGTTAGTCCAGCAGATGCCTGCTCATAAAACCACAAAGGTCAGATCTAAAGACTGGTTTCATATTTAGTCTACGATACCAGTTTGTTCGATGAGATGTAATAGAAATATCTGCTTCAGGAGAGTGTATCTTTTATATCTAGCCATACACATGAATGTACCTTACGAGCAAATAAATGATCAAAGTCCCTGCCCCATGGAGCTGATTCCTCTAGTACTCCTCTCAGTTTAGGGTTTGTGGATAAATGCTTGGATGGATAATGAAGGAAGGAAAACAAGGACTGCAGTGATGTGACATCCCCTTTAAAAAAAAAAAACTGGTTACTTCTTTTCTACCTTCTGCCATACAGTCAAGCACACACACACACACACACACCCCACAAAGAGGAATTATGTTTTGAAGGCCCACAGGATGAGTGCATTTTTGACAGAAATTTCACATAGGCCCTATACAGATAAACAAATTCCTTTGTGGGGAATCATTTCTCTATTAAACACAGAATAAAACAGCATGAATTGTCTGTTTACAAAAATGGCTCTTGAAATATCCAGAATATCAACTTCTTGGTGGCCCTTCGATCACTAAATGAGAGCTGAACAGAAACTAAGCGTCCATGAACAAGGCCATCTATTTCAGTCAAGGGCATTAGCACACAGATATATTAGCACTGTTATGAGTAGTGAGATGTAAAATGGCCAAGTATCACAATTAAGTAGGAGAAAACCTGAAGAATTAAAGACTGAAAAATATGCTACAGCTGAATTCTGCCAGATGCTCAGTGTCCCCAGAAACATTGTGAACACCATCAACTTCCACTGGTATCCATGCAATCCGAGGGCACTGACTCATTCTCTCCATCAGGAAAGGCTCAGCAGCTTCCCTGGGCAAGTGATAAGTGAATGACAGAAAGACAACTACAGTTTTAACTGCACTGTCAGCAGCTCTTCTCTTCCCCGTCTAGTCCACCACCTGCCTATTAAATTTTCCAACAAATTCATTTGTGCTTTCTTCCATACTATCACATACTCATGGAACAGGGCCCTCGTCTCATATGGAACATCTCTACCTTCTCCTCTGCAAGATTTCTATTCCACAGGATGTACAAGAAATCTGCTAACACACAGTGACTGAAGCTTTAGGGGTGAGAGAGGAGAAAACAAAAAACAGTGTATTTGTGCATAAACAATGACATGGTAAAAAAATATATATGTAGAAAAAATAAAGGGTTTTTGACGTTTCCCTTTCCTACAAGCTGGAGAGGTCATTCCTTTTTTCAGACTGTCAGCAGTGCGAGGCAGGACTTTGCCTCTTTGTTTTCCCCCTGGGGCCCAGTTCCAGTATCTCAGGTTGCTACAGTAATATAAGTAATAAACGACAGTAATAATATTCATGAACACTGATCCTGAAACACACCCAAGGAATCTATTTGACGCCCGTGCTTGGGTTGACACTCACCCAGGGTGAAAGTTGTCATACTAAGCAGCAGTAACTATCTCAGCTTGCAATAAATCTTCTTCAGCCAGTACCACTTAACTGGAGGTTACCTAAATGAGTCACTTCCTCTCCCCGTCTACATCTCTCTCTCCATTCAAGACCGTCATTTACATTCCCTGGCTGGAGTTCTAACAAGAGCAGGAAGAATGTTGCTGTTAGAGACTTTTGTTCTGGCTACGGTTTGCTCCTGTAAGTGTGTTGCTCGCACTTTGGGTGACAAGATAGCAAGTGTGAAAAATTGGGACGGGGGTGGGGGTTAAGGCACCTATATAAGACAAAGCCCTGAATATAAGGACTGTCCCTATAAAAATTAGGAAATCTGGTCACCCTACTCACACTGCTCTCCGCGTACATTGGTACATGACAGCAGCTGCTGGAGAGAGTCTTCACATTATTTCAGTTTTATTCTTATATTTTATCTGTGTTTCTCCATAGATGGCTCCTCGCAAGTGCGTCTGACCCAACCTCAGCTGTCCATCACTAGGGAAGGAAATAAAACCTTATGAATTGACTGTCATGTTTCTCTATCTGAGGATTTTGGCAAGGCTCCTATACACTGGTATAGACAGAGACCCGGTGCAGCTCCAGAACGGATTCTGTTCATCTCAACGCAGTCTGAATTTGACAGAGTCTCAGATAAAGGAAAGTTTAATGCTGAAAAGAAGATTGACCAGTCTACCTGTACCCTGACCATAAACAAAATAACCTCCAGTGACATTGCTACTTACTATTGTGCCTCTTGGGATCGCACAGTGTTAAAAAACATTAGACAGCCTGTACAAAAACCCACTCTGCATTCTGAGCCACAGCCTTTTGCATGTATGAGGCCACTGTCACCTCTCTTAAAATTCCTCTCAGCCTGGAGCCAGCTGCAGAAACTCTTCATTGGCTTCTGCAACTAGATATGAACAGCAACTGCTGATTTACTGCGTATTTTCCACATAAATCACTAAGAACAGGTCAGGTCTAGCAGAACACGAGGTCGCCTTGGGCACAAAGGGGAGTTAGGCACCCAATCTCGTTACAAGTCAATGGGAGTTGTGTGTTTAGCTGCCCCTTGGCCTTTTAAAAAAAAAATTTCCCGCTGAATATTAGGTGAAGCCGTCAGTCAGTCGTTGTCTGTGGGGGTTATCATGGGCTGACTGAGTGGAGATTTGTCATCAGTCTAGAGGAGCAGAACACTTGGGGTGAAAATCCTGGCTCCAGAGAAGGAAATGGGGCCAGGCTCTCACCCCCATAACTGCCTCACACTACAGTCTCTCAATCCAGGCATCATTCATCTGCTGAAACAGGAAGCAAGTGAAAGTAAAACAGGATCGTTGGACCCAGTGTGCAGGTGCAACAATGTACCTCCTTATAACTCCCAAGTAACTGGGGCTCATCTTGCATAGTGTCCTCCCCAGTTACAGAGCCTCATGTTACTGTCTATAGATTCCAGTTGTGGATCTCAATGGCCATTGGGTCAAGCCCTAAGTGTCTTTCCATTGACTTCAATGGGCTTTGGATCAGACCACAAGTCACCTAATGGCACTGCAAACCAGCCTGGCCACTTTACATTTTGATATTACTCCGATGAAAACAGGAGTAAGTTTATTTTGGTTGCTTTTCTGCTGTTTAATTAGCCCTGAACCACAAAGAGCTTATTGTTCACTTTATAAAAACCACAGAGTTCTGTTCTGAAGGACCAGCCTATCTTTACTCTCTGAAGTCAGTTCAGCAGAAAACACATGGTGTGACAGCAGGCCACACTCTGCTTGAACTGATATTATGCTGTGGAATTTCAATCTTCGCATGAACGTTCAGGGAACTTTACAGAATAAGAGTCCCTGTCCCAGGGATTTTATAGTCTAAGGAGGGTTACTAGAGCAATGGGGATAAATGGAGTCAGGTTCTCCAGAACCCCTGGGGAAAGAGTGTAATTGCAGATGATACTTGAAAGAAGGGCAGAAGTGGAAGCATCGCTTATTGAATGATGCTAGAAAGACATCATGGATCGGATTAGCTCTCATCACAAGGAAACAAAGAAGTGTTTAAGAAAACATGAGGTTACTCGTAAATTAATTTGACAAAAACATCATTGTAGAGTTGGCCCTTTTTCAGAAGTAGGACAAAATAGACTGCAAATGTACAATTGCACATCCATCCTATATCAGTAGAGGGCATTAGCACACTGATATAATATCCACTGTACACCACTCCATTTATAGAGCAGAGGGATAGTCTCAAACTGAAGTAGGAAGCGATATTCCACTACTTCACATCTGGGAAACTCAGCGAGAGCAGGATCCTGGGAAGTGCTTAATATCTTCAGAAGAGTTCTGAGTGCTGTACCGGCAACAGCACCCCTCAGGGCAGCACCTCCCATCTTCAACAGGGAAAGAAAATAACCCCCAAGAAAATTAGTCTTCACTGTGACATCAACATGGCTCTGCCAGTCCCTTCATCTTTGTATTAGTTACAGTCACAGCTAGGAACCCCAGTCACAGATCTGGTCCACACTGCACAGGGCACTGTACAAACAAACAAGCAAAGTTTGCATCCCTGCCCACAAACATCTTGGTGTTTTTTTCCAGCACTTATGTGTGAAATGCCCCCTCCAACCACACAAATCCCTAAACCACTAGCCTCTTCTCCTTCAAATCCCCCTCAAAACCCACTCCTGCTGCACCTCCTACAAGAAATCTGCTGGCAAATAACTACTCTGGTTGGGGAGGGCAGGGGGATATGGTATATTTAAATATGAAGTACCAAAAATTCTCTGCTGGTGCAAATACACTTCTAGACTGAAGATCTTTGGGACCGTCACTCTATATATTGCTATGTTTAGTACCTCACACAATGGGGACACCACCCGGACAGAGGCCTCTGGAAAACACTGCAATATAAATAATTCAAAGACCAATCCTTCATTACCCAGACTTCCATGATGCAATCTACACTGGTCTAACGATAGCGGAAAAGTTTGCTTTATGCCAGATAATCCTCTTTGATAAAAGTAACTTTGGATGAGTTTCAGCCATAACTCTACCTTATCTTAAATTAGCATATGCAGCCAGCAAAACCTCATCCCGTTTTAACTAAATGAGTCACATCCTGTCCCCAAAGGCACCACTCTGTCCATCCCAACAGTCACATTTCTCATAGATGCAGGACCAAGCAAAACCTGTAAAATGTTACTACTTCAGGTTGTTATTCTGGCTTCGATTTTGTCTTGTAAGTTTCTTTTTTATCCTTTTTCTACATAGTTGTACTTTACTGAGTCACAACTCACCATGCTCCAGATTCATTCTATGTTAATTTCTGGTTTTCTTTTCTTGTCCTCTTTCTAGACGGATGTGCACAAATACATCTGAAACAAGCTCAGTTGTCCGTTACCAGGGGAAAAGGTAAAACTGCAAGTATAGACTGTGAGGCTTCTGGCATTCAGAACTTCGGGAATGCTATTATACACTGGTATCGACAAAGACCTGGAGAAGCTCCAGAGTGGATACTCTACTTTAAGACACAAGCTGAGAAATCAAGTTTTGACAAGAACAAGTTTAGGGTTGACAAGACAACTGAAAAGTGCACCCTAAGGGTAGACAGACTAACCGACAATGACATGGGTACCTATTACTGTGCCTACTGGGATATCACAGTGTTAGAAAGCCATAGACAGGCTGTGCAAAAACCTCACTCTGTATTGAGCCACAGACTTTCAAAAGTGTACACCCCCCCCTTCACACACAGTTGCCTTCTTAATCTTAATCATCTGAAAGCACGAGTAGATACTCATTTCCTCTGAGCTAGATACAAGACCATCACATACAACTGATGTTTTTAAGTATGGCAGGTATAGATTTAGAAAGGGTGTAATAAAAGCTAACTTTTATAGGTACAGCATAGCATCTCATTGACCACATGCTGGAGATACTTATAGTATAAGTCAGATATCCAATTCCTCCTTCATTTCTGGTTAATCATCTTTAGAAAGCCATTCCCATCAACTCCCTCCCTGAATGTTCTATATGCTTGCTACCATTTCTGGGGCTCGATACGGGGTCGGGACACGCAGACCATGGGGCTGTTAGCAATATTGATTTTAACACTATCACAGGCAGGGACAACCTTTGGAGGATGTTGTTCTGCTGAAGATCCCTGGTTGGAAGAGAAAGCAACTTTTCCAGGCCTGTGATAGACAGCCATTTATCAAGACAACGACAACAACATTTTGCCCCCTACTGACTGAACAGCAAATCAATGAATGGAGAGGGCTAGTAAGCTACCGGAGTGGTCATAGGTGCTGGAACTAGGGATGCCGCTGCACCATCTGGCTTGAAGTGGTTTCCATTATATGCAGGCTTTACAGTTTGGTTCAATGGCTCTTAGCACCCTGACTATCTACAAATTATCAGAGGGGTAGCAGTGTTAGTCTGTATCCACAAAAACAACGAGGAGTCCGGTGGCACCTTAAAGACTAACAGGTTTATTTGGGCATAAGCTTTCATGGGTAAAAAACCCACTTCTTCAAATGCATGGAATGAAAATTACAGATACAGGCATAAATATACATTGGCATCTGAAGAGAAGGGAGTTACCTTTCAAGTGGAGAATCCGTGCAGAAGGCCAATTCAGTCAGGGTGGATGTGGTCCACTCCCAATAATGGATGAGGAGGCGACAATACCAAGAGAGGGAAAATTGCTTTTGTAGTGAGCCAGCCAGTCCCGGTCCCTATTCGAGCCCAAATTGATGGTGTTAAGTTTGCAAATGAATTGTAACTGAGCAGTTTCTCTTTGGAGTGTTTTTGAAGGTTTTTTTGTGGAAGAATGGCTACTTTTAAATCTGTTATTGAGTCCAGGGAGATGGAAGTGTTCTCCTGGCTTTTGTATGTTACCATTCCTAATGTGTGTCCATTTTTCCTTTTATGTAGAGGTTGTCCAGTTTGGAGCATGTACATAGCAGAGGGGCATTGCTGGCACATGATGGCATATATCACATTAGCAGATGTGCAGGTGAATGAGCCTCTGATGGTGTGGCTGGGTCCTATGAGGCTGTCGCTAGAGTAGATACGAGGACAGAGTAGGCAACGAGGTTTGTTGATTCTTGGGTTAGTGTTTCTGTGGTGTGGTTTGTAGTTGCTGGTGAGTATTTGTTTCAGGTTGGGGGGCTGTCTGAAAGCAAGGATTGGCCTACCTCTCAAGGGTCTGAGAGAGACTGAGGGATAGTTTTCCAGGGGTCTGAGAGAGACTGAGGGATAGTTTTCCAGAATAGGTTGTAGAAACTTGCGGACAATGGAACTGCCTCCACCCCCTCCCCAAGCTCCTAGACATTGTGCCGTGCATGCACACCACCAAGATGCCATTGTCACCAGGAGACTTGGTCACATGGTACAGCCACTGGGATTTATTATAATGCAGTCTTCCTGCCATAGCGCTGTAATATTAGTATTGGAATAACTGTACTACAGTGTGACAGCTATAGAAAGAAGAATGTGGGAATATGTATTTAAACTTGCTAAGCTGGTAGTCCCAGATCAGATTCCCTCCCACCATCAATGCAACAGTCCCTCGATCTGCTGGCATGCCCCTACTTATACAGTCCAAAATGTCACTGACCTTCTTGGCAACAAGGACAGACTGTTGACTTATATCCAGCTTCTCATCCACTGTACCCCTTAGGTCCTTTTCTGCAGAACCGCTGCCGAGTCATTCGGTCCCTAGTCTGTAGTGGTGCATGGGATTCTTCCGTCCTAAGTGCAGGACTCTGCACTTGTCCTTGTTGAACCTCATCGGATTTCTTTTGGCCCAATCCTCTCATTTGTCTTGGTCCCTCTGTATCCTATCCCTACCCTCCAGCGTATCTACCTCTCCTCCCAATTTAGTGTCATCTGCAAACTTGCTGAGGGTGCAATCCACACCATCCTCCAGATCTTGACAAAGCCCTGGCTGGGATGATTTAGTTGGGGACTGGTCCTGCTCTGGGCAGGGGACTGGACTAGATGACCTCCAGAGGTCCCTTCCAACTCTGATATTCTATGATTCTATGATCATTAATGAAGATATTGAACAAAACTGGCCCCAGGACCGACACTTGGGGCACTCCACTTGATACCGGCTGCCAACTAGACATGGAGTCATTGATCACTACCCATTGAGCCCAACAATCTAGCCAGCTTTCTACCCACCTTATCGTCCATTCATCCATCCCATACTACTTTAACTTGCTGGCAAGAATACTGTGGGAGACCGTATCAAAAGCTTTTCTAAAGTCAAGGAATAACACGCCCACTGCTTTCCCCTCATCCACAGAACCAGTTGTCTCGTCATAGAAGGCAATTAGATTAGTTAGGCATGACTTGCCCTTAGTGAATCCATGCTGACTGTTCCTCTCCTCTAAGTGCTTCAGAATTGATTCCTTGAGGACCTGCTCCATGATTTTTCCAGGGACTGAGGTGAGGCTGACTGGACTGTAGCTCCCCGGATCCTCTTTCTTCCCTTTTTTAAAGATAGACACTACATTAGCCTTTTTCCAGTCGTCCGGGACCTCCTCCAATCGCCATGAGTTTTCAAAGATAATAGCCATTGGCTGTAAATCTACACTCCCAGCCAGGCAAGAAAGCCCAGGTTCAAAACACACACAAGCCTGGGCATAAGGATTTTGTGAGAGGAGGAGAGAGGGGTTTTGGCTAAAACCAGGGTAAGAGCCAACGTAAATCTAGAGTGACAACACACCCTGAAAGACATAAATCTGCTGGCAGCCACAGGCACCTTTCTACAGCAGCATTCCCGTACTTGCTTCCACCAGTAGAACTGACCCAGGGGTAGAAACTGAGAGAAATTTTAGGGAAAAAAAGTCTAGTGTAGACAGATGAGGCTAATTGACATTTGGAAAATGTCCCAGGCAGAGCCATGTGGAAGTTCCATTCCATCATTTAATGAAAAGAAAGAAATCCATGACCACTGAAATTGTCACGATGCTACTCACTGTGGCCTTGGCACTCCCTGGCAGCAGCAGGGATACATTTCAGATCCTTCTACTCCCAAAGCACAGTCCCCTCCACTTGGGCTGAGGAAGAGTTTTCTTTAGCTGCTAGCAGGACTGGGTTTATGCCACATAGCTGAGCATTTGGGGTACCATCCTTGTTCTTTGCACATATACACTAATCAGGGTATCACAGTATCTATCAAGGGCTTTTAAGAACATTTGGAGGAATACAGAGAAGGAAAATCCTGACTCTCATACCACAGCCTGGTGGCCCAGTAGCACCAGTCAATAATTTGTGCAAGTGCAATCAAGCAGAATTAAAGGTCAAGTGGATCCAGAGATGACACTTTCCAAAACAGAAACTGCTACCCAGTCCCGTGCAGTTTTTTTGTAACTCATTAGCAGATAAAAGAGTTTCTTGGAGGAAAGCTATTGTGCATTTGGAGTTTTATAAGAGAGGGTGTCAGGATTTGAGGGTTTGAGTTGATTAGAAGAATAATGAGAGATTAAAGTAATTCATTGTATATTAGCTCCCTACCCAGGAGGGACAGGTTCCCTTACCAGCTCCAAACCTATCCCCACAGTCCCCTCCACTACCAACCCTGATCAGTTCTATAATCAGTCTCCAGAACCCCTTTCCCAACACCTCTTTGTGGGGTAGGGAAAGAAGTTCATGTTGGCATTTCAGCTACAAAGGCTGAAAAGAGAACAGTGAATCTTCAGATGATCTCTGGCCACTATATTACAATAATTTATACATTCTCCAAAGTGCAATGTATACCTATGTCTGAACATTGATAAAAATTAAATATGCTGTCAAAGGGTAACTCACCATCAAAATGCCCCCATGTGGCTGGCAAAGTCGTCTCCTCTGGTGCCCCCCGCCCAGCCCTGCTGGGGTCTACTCCTTGTGCCTCAGCCCTCCACCAGGTCACATTCAGTCCCACCCTCTCTTCCCCAAGAGTTACAAAGAGTGCACAACCCAAAAACAGTCCAATGACCGTATGAGAGATCAGGCCCAACATTGGGGAGAACCCATATGCCCCTGAATTGAGGGGCCTGCCCCCTTCTTTGGCAGCCAGTAGGGGAACATAGGCAGGCCTGCCTTCAATCTGGGTTTCAATAGTGTACAAGAACCCTGTAGCAAGCAGCGAGAGACAGCCTACTCCTCCCAGCTAGCATTCATCCTTAATTCACCAACCCAGTCCTACCTAGCTGAGCATAATTCTAAGTTAGGCCTGGCCCACCCTCCAGATGCAACTGGATGCACTAATTGCTGTCTGGCAGGGGCCCAGGTTAACTCTTTCTTTGCCAGTGTGCGTATACACACTCCATCACATATGCTATTTAATATCTCATAGGGATGTGCTTATATTATATCTTTAAAATGAAACCTTGTGGCAACATTTTACCTACACCTTAGCAAAAATACATACCAGTAATTAAGCGTACAAATGGCCTTTTTTGGAAGACAGGATAAGGTCAGTTATTAATGTACACGAGCACGTGTCATATCTCAGTAGAGGGCACCAATAGCACACAACTGAACTGACAATGACCGGTGTGCAGCCCAGTGACTATGTGTACACCTGAGAGAAGATGCAGACTCAGATTTGTAATGGGAGGGAGCGTGCTCCTGCCCAGCCAGCATGGACATCGGTGCTGGCCCACGTGA